ATGAACCACGAAGAAAATATTGCTGGCTCTCTCTGGCTCTCCTAATTACTTTTGCACCAGTTTTTTTTAAATATCTTTTTACTGGGTTTTATAATCGAGGATCATAGGAATAATATACTTTTGCACCATTTTCCAAAAAAGCTAGGACAAAACCCTTTTTTAAAAGTTTGTGCTTTAACACTCCAGTCAGAACAGATTTGGGGGGTGCACAGGAGATTGGGGGGCAGAGAGGAAGATGATATCCCACTGAGTGGACTTGTGTTGATACCCCTGGAGGCCTTTTTTAATATATGTTATAATATTGTAAATCGCTTTGGGGTGCCAATTTATACCCCGCCCATCTGGCTGGGTTTCCCCAGCCACTCTGGGCGGCTCCCAACAAAATATTAAAAACACAATCAAACATCAAACATTAAAAACTTCCCTAAAGAGGGCTGCCTTCAGATGTCTTCTAAAAGTCAGATAGTTGTTTATTTCCTTGACATCAGATGGGAGGGCGTTCCACAGGGCGGGCGCCACCACCAAGAAGGCCCTCTACCTGGTTCCCTGCAACCTCACTTCTCACACTGAGGGAACTGCCAGGAGGCCCTTGGAGCTGGACCTCAGTGTCTGGGCTGAACAATGAGGGTGGAGATGCTCCTTCAGGTATACTGGGCCGAGGCCGTTTAGGGCTTTCAAGGTCAGCACCAACACTCTGAATTGTGCTCAGAAACAAACTGGGAGCCAATGTAGGTCTTTCACTTATGTGGTCTAGGCAGCCGCTCCCAGTCACCAGTCTAGCTGCCACATCCTGGAATAGTTGTAGTTTCCGGGTGACCTTCAAAGGTAGCCCCACGTGGAGCGTGTTGCAGTAGTCCAAGCGGGAGATAACCAGAGCATAATCCATAAAGTTAGCATCTTGCCCTCCAAGCCCTCAAGCACTCCATGGATAGGGTTATGTGTCACATTTTCTTGTCCAGATCTTCCCATTGTTCCGCTCTTTCGAAGAGATTCATTTGCAGATGGGTCGTGCTTGTGATATAAGTTGAGAATTGGAACAGAGGTTCAGTGTTGCAGTTAACAGCACTGTTGCGCAAAGGGTGCTGGTCTGCAGGCCAGATCCAAATGCATAAACATCACCCGTTGGTACTGATATATCCAGTGGACACATTAAAACCAAACCCGTGTTTACCTTTCCAACAGAAACATCTGGAGGCTACAATATCAAAATATATTTTAAATCAGGGCAGGCCAAGCAAGCTATTTTCTTCCTCTGGAAGCGGAACAAAACCGGCTTGCAAAGAGATCCTTGGGTTTCTATTGTAGCAACCGAGAAGACAGACAAAGCCAGGGCGTATTAAAATAATATACTAACCAGAGAAGAAAATGCCAGTAAGTAAATCAGCCTTGGCGTACTGATAATCACATGAGGATGTCAAAGGGGATGTGATAGGATGGAGGAAGATGAAAAAGGCAGCAAAATGAATGAAGGCGCAGAGAACGGCGTCCGTGCACAAGGAGAGTTAAGAGATTAGATTTGCTTTCAAAGAGGGAACATCAAAGAGGGAACTTATTTACTTTGGATTATGGCGCAAGAACCAGGAGGGCTTCTGCACATTTGTTTAAAAATTAAAGAGAGTATCACTGGCTTCTTCAACGCTCAGTTAACCGCTGGGACAAAATGTCCTGGGTCACCTTCAGGTGAACCAAACTTAATTCAAAATGGTATTA